AACAGCAACAACATACTGTTCTCTGGAGACTTCCTTCTGTCACACTGGTGGCCACTCCTCAGGCCTCTGTTTCCATGGAGCTCTGCAGAGGGACAGCCACGAGCCATGAACACTCGGCCAGCAAATCTCTGTCCCGGGTCCCTTGCCAGTTTCCATGTCCTGGGAAGCTGTTCATACTGGCTTGGAAAGACAAGCACATTGGTCAGAAGCAGAATGCTCACTCTGAACTCAGTTTGTTCCTGTGTTTTGTTTTTTACACTCATGAATGTCGTGGTGACAGGCTTCAGCCTTTTCACTTGCGAACTTGAGTTCCAAGATGACCCCATGGTCTTTGTGCTAGGATTCTGTATTCCCCGAAAATAATAAGAACTTGGGCAAATTTGATATTAAAGCATTTGATGTCAGGGGCAGAGAGGTATATGTTGGGTGGACAGACATTTATAAATCATTTATTTCTGTGGCCCATGTCTATGTATGTGCCCCCGACTCCCCAGCAACTCTACACTGGGGGAGTGGGGGGATCATTCTTCTCGTAGTTCCATGGAGGAGTGAGCTGCGCCGGGAGGTGGTCATGCCTCACACAGCTAGAAGGGATGGATGGAAGGTTTGAGAAGGCAGGTCTGCCTCTCTCCTCTACCACACCACACCACCAGCTTCTCCACCCAGCTGCAGCCTTACCTCATGTTCCAGGCACGGCTGGGCAGCGCTGTTAACGCTCATTAAACTAGACAAGGCCAGCTTTCCCCTTTCCAATTAGTGACAGAGTTGACCACTGTCAAAACGTAGCTTTGACGTTCTTGTTATTTTGAATTCACCTAAGAAAAGGAAATTCTGATTGCCATGGCAAAATATATATTTATACACACACATGCACATATACACACACACACAAGGGGGCTTCAGAAAGTTCATGGAGAAATCCCACTATCTTTTTGTTACATTTTTCCATGAACTCTTTAGTGGTGGTAATGGTCACGGTTGGTGGTTATGTGCCACCAAGTCACTTCCAACTCAGAGACCCTATATAGGGGTTCCGAGGCAGTAAATCTTTACAAAAGCAGAAAAACTTCATTTTCTCATGCAGAGCAACTGTGCAGCCCAACTTGTATCCTCTCATGCTTCCAGGGCTCCTGTGAAGTTTTTGAAGCCCCTCATATTGCTAGCTCCCTGTAGGAAATATTTCTTTTACGTAACTTAAAAACTAATGGGCTCTGAGTTGGGATGGTAACGAGGCAATAGGCAAGCTTGCAGAATGTTAGCTCCCCAGAGGACGGAATATCGGCACAAAGGTGGACCCTGGCAGAATATCCAGAATGTGGAGAAGAAGGCTCCATATCTGACATTGAGACTTAAGAATCGGGCTGGACAAGAGACTTGGCTCTGCCTTAACAGAGAGAGCAGAGCCCTTGGGGTCTGGTGGGCCTGCATTGAAACCACAGTGTCTGAGCCTACTTTTCACTGGCGCTTGCCCGCAGAAAGCCAAGCCTGTGTGCCAGTGTCCTGCCCTTCCTGTGGGGACTGTCAGCTGTGATCACAACTGACTGAAGACGCTAACTCAGCTGACTCTTATGTTGTAGGCGGTGGCGATTCTGACAGCGACGTACCCCGTGGGTCACATGCCATACGGCTGGTTGACCGAAATCCGCGCTGTCTACCCTGCTTTTGACAAGGTGAGCACCTGTGTGGCTGGCAGCATGTCTGAAACGCACGTCGGAGAATGACCGGCTGGTACACCGGCGTCTGTGTGTGCTGGAGGAGATTGTGGATGATTTCCTGTCGGGGTCCCGCCTCGACATAGGGGTTCGGTTCACGAAGTAGGGAGATCTGGCGGTGACAGAGATAGAGAAAGAATACATACAAAGACACAACAAGAGAGACAAGAAGACACCCCGAAATTAGAGTGGATGCGAAACTGGCGGGCAGACCCTGGACTACAGGCATCATCGTGGCCCCTGCAGGCAGTAAATGCACAGCCCTGCAGGCAGTAATGCATGCGGGCTTCAGTCTGCACCTCCTTTTTATTTCAGGGAGGAGGTTTACACAAAGGAAGGCGGGGTTTACTAAGGGTACAGAAGTGAAATGTGCTTAATTGTTCAAAACAGGACACAATGATTCATAGGCACAAATTCTAAAACATACATCACAAATTGTCTTGATAATCTAACATCCTTAAATTTCCAGAAATTCAAGCAAATTTATATAGTACTTTCTAGGTTCGAATCCTAAGACAGCAACTCGAGGTTTCTCAAGGCTAATTAACATACCTATAGCACCTAATCTTCAGTGAGAAAAGGATTCAAAAGGTCTGAAAGGAGTCCAGCTGTTTCGGCTACCTGGCCGAGGCTTGTAGGAGGAAGGAGGACGCCTATGTTAATGGTCTGCACCTGGGGATGATCTGAGAAGGCTGTCACTATTATTCTTTAGACAAAACCCCGGAATCCACCAATCTA